AAATGTGAAACCGCAATTTTGCACATATATCCACATAGACCCAACAAACTTTCATGCCAAATTTGGCGAAGATCCATCAGTGGGGAGTGGTGGGGGGAGTAGTGGTAAAAAAACACGAAAGCGCCCATTAAAAACCGCAAAACGCAAAACTGAAAATTTATATGTTTCTCCCTATGGACCTACTGAAACTCCTTAAAAATGTGGTTGAAGATCCATCCACACCCTGCGAAGTAGTTACACGGACATACAACAGACAGTACTATTATATTTATACAGATTTGTCAAGTCTCACTACACCTAATGAATGAAAATAAATATCTTAAATATAAAGTTTGCTGAAAATTGCGATTTCTTGTTGATTGTATTAAGGTTATTAATATTTTCTTTGAATTTTTACGTTTTATGCATATTCTTTGACATTTTACCCAGTATTATAGTGAAAAAGGACAAGCCAACAGTTTCTTCAGCAACAAACAGTCGCGTGATTTCGTTTAGCAACGTAAAATCATCGGATTTCTTCATAAGGAAACAATTACGTAGCTTACGCGATGGGCCGAGCCAGATCCAGTGATTAGCATGCTGGACTGAGGATCTGTGGTTATAAGAGTAATTGTCAAATTACACTGTTCGATCTGACTAAAGTAACTCAAGAGTTAGTGGTGGGTATTGTCGACTGGCTGCCTTCGCGGTAGACAGTTAAAAATTAGGGACGGTTAGTTCAAATAACCCTCGTGTAGCGTAGCGCAAAATCCAATAAAACAAACAGTGGATATCTTCCAACTCTTTCAGTTTTTCATAACCGTTTGAAACAAAACGCCTTAAGCGATTTAAGAAACTCAATTCGAAACTTTTCTGTATAGTATAGCTTTTACTTTTCGATTGTCGTTTGAGATGAAGATTTTTCCTCAAATAAAAGCCAACAGCTCCTCAGATAAACCACCCACGAGTCGTTTAGTTCGATGTGGATTTTTATATTATATATATATGTACTTCCGATTCAAATTTTCTTTTTCAAAAATCGGTAATAACCTTTACGTAGTTCATCTTACACGAAAACAATTCCACAATTGTTGTGAAGTAAAACAATGAGTTGCTACATACAACATTCACTTTGTTTTACTAGGGTAAGCATATCTTTTAGTTAAAAATTACAAACACGGTAAACAATTCTACAATTGCTATGACGTAAACCAAAGAGTTGTAACGTACAACATTCGATTTTTTACTAGGTTAAGCATATCTTTTGGTTAAAAAGTTATAAACACGGTTTTCCAGACTCAACATTTTAGAGTATAACCTATTGAACAGGGTACAGGTCTCACGCTGGCATTTCAGTCTATGAAGTTTGACCAGTAACTTCCGTTTTCCTGATTCGGTTCCGGTTTTTTTCACGACCTATTATTACCTACCATACTTCTCAGTCTTATCGACATAGGTTGTTGATCACCAAAGTAATCAAAAATGCTTCTGTGAAATTGATCATAAATAGAAACATATACCATGACTTAGTAGTTTTCTTGAAGTCTGACTATGAAATGTGAACGATAAAAACATGGAGTCATTTCCGAGCGACAAATGCATAGATATTAATGAGGTATCTTGGTGCGCCAGGCTCAACCAGGGTGTACCATTTATATGAAATGAGTTTTATTATAAAATCCCCCTCTTTAAGAATCATTCTTCATATACTTCATTTCGCTTCAGCTTGCTCAGGTTAAAAAAAGAACAAGGAAAGAATCGAAAAAGTAAAGCAACCAACAAAAAAGTGTACAGCATGAACTATATTGTAAGTATACTTGACTTAAGTAAAATGTTAACAAATGAGAAAAATACTACTTCTGAAATGATAATGCTTTGCATTTTTGTGTGACTACTTGAAGTTAAAAACTTATTTATTCTTACAAAGAAATCCATTGATAGAAATACAAATGAGCCCTTAAACTCTTGTTCGTCGAGATAACTTTTGATATGAATGTAAAGTCACGTGTTTATGTGTATATCTTAGTAATTTTTATTGTTCTAAACATTCTTTAATATTTAATGCTTACAAAAACTAAAACTAGGACTAATAATATCGTGTGATACTAAAATTACAAAAGTTAGATAATATTTAGAATATCTTACAAATGTCATTCCAGTTATAATTTTCAAGTTAATATAAAAAAATGTTTTTCGTTTGTTTGAATTTCGCGTAAAGCTAAATGAGGGCTACCTGCGCTAGCCGTCCCTAATTTAGCAGTGTAAGACTACAGGGAAGGAAGTTAGTCATCATCACCCACCGCCAACTCTTGGGCTACTCTTTTACCAACGAATAGTGACCGCCACATTATATATAACGCCCCCACGGCTGAAAGGGCGAGTATGTTTGGTGTAACGGGGATTCGAACCCGAGATCCTCAGATTGCGAGTCGAGCGCCCTAACCACCTAGCCATGCCGAGCCTGTGTTTTTCAAAATGATATCAGTTGTTTGCAGTGTTTAATTTTTCAGAAGAAAAACGTTATACCAGATCCTTGTTATTATTAAATTTTCTATAACACAACATACACACAGTGTGAGAAGGGCACACAAACGTCTTATATATCTCAGATAGTACACTACTACTCTCTACATAGGAATGCAATGAAAAAAATGGCCGCCACTATTGCAATAATACATAAACTCAGCTGAAGTTTCTACTACAACAGCCACCATAAGGTTGGTATGAAGAGCCGTTTCTTATATTATATCCACTTCATACTTTGACTCGTGACCTTTCAACTTTGGCCCGTACAACACCTCTGCGGCCAATGACCGTCAATTAATTAATCACGTGAAACACTGTGGAAAGACATTAAGAGGTGGGTGTTGAAAGCGGGTAACGGAAAGCATCCCTACCGCCACTACTTTTGCCGCTACTTCTTGCTATAAAATCACCCTGACCATTGCACAGTGTATACCATGTTTCAAGTATATACATATCTGAAGGTCGCGGGTTCGAATCCCCGTCACACCAAACATGCCCACCCTTTTAGCCGTGTGGGCGTTATAATGTGACGGTCAATCCCACTATTTGTTGGTAAAAGAGTAGCCCAAGAGTTGGCGGTGGGTGGTGATGACTAGCTGCCTTCCCTCTAGTCTTACACTGCTAAATTAGGGACGGCTGGCGCAGATAGCCCTCGTGTAGCTTTGCGCGAAATTCAAAACAAACAAGTATATACATATGGAGTTCTTAAAGCTTATACAAAACCTTTGGTGAGGTAATAATGAATATTGTAATAACATGTTATATTATATACAAACTGTGTGAAAGTTAGAATTTTTGTGTTATTTATCACAGCATCCACCCCTACATGTTTTAAAGTTCATAACCCGGACAAAGGACGGATACTTCAGCTTGTATATACATATATTACATAAAAGAATCACGAAAACAAGGGGATTTCAAAGAAAATAGTTTTTAATTTCACATTCTATTGTTTACTTAATAGGTGGCGTTTTCTGTCCTCTCGTGTGGTTTGGTTGTGGTGGCTGTAGACGACACAAGTCAGTACCCTGACACTTTACGCGATCCCACGATCAACAGCCGTCTTCCACCCGGTTCTGACTTCGATAACCGCGGCTTTGATAGGTATCGACCTAATTCTCAGTTCGATGACAGATATGGCAATAATCCTTATGATAACCGATACGGTCCTCGGGGAAGCGGATATTACCCTTTCGGCTCCAGAAGAAATGAAAACTATCCTTACGACGACCAGTTCCAATTTCGGTATCCGCAATCTCCTTACCGCAATACCTTCAATTCCCGATACCCCTACGACAATCGATTCGATTCCCGATACCCCTACGACAATCGATTCGATTCCCGATACCCATATGACGATAGATTCGATTCCCGATACCCCTACGACAATCGATTCGATTCCCGATATCCAAACGATTATCGCTTCAATAACCTAGGAGATAGAAGCTATCTTTATGATCGTCTCCTCGATGATCAAGGCTATGGAAGTTATCCTTCCTACAGGTATCCCGATAACAACAGAGGTTACTCGAGTGGTAGTCGCTATGGTACTAGAGCCTACGGTAGAAGATATCCTTATGACTCAGCATATGGTAACTCAGTCCCTTATGGTAACCGTGTTTCTAACTACAGGAGGTCTTTCCGCTCTGCAGACGATGCTTCTCCATTAGTTTACTCTTCAAGAGATAAATACCCCGCCAGTGCGAGCAGTAATGTTCAGTATCAACTAAAAGTTCCAGGAGTTAACGCAGGTGGAGGAGACGAGCCCTCTCGAATCTCCAAAGCAAACAAGAACACTCAGAATAAGTAGATCAAGTTCATCTTCGCCATTTTTCTCCCGTACAGAAATAGAAGTTCATAGGTTTATCAAAATTCTTGAAATTATCGAGTATTGAAACACAAGAAAATAATTTATATTTTTTCTTTGGGTGAAATAAAGGTTCCAAATTTTGATAGTAAGGATATATTGAACTCCACATATATTTTTCAATTATCTCGACATATGATTTTATACTTGCTTAATCTTATCATTTCATGGGTAAACGTGAAATGTCTATAAAAATGGGTTTTTCAAATAAACCACCGCGAAAATTAGAGCAGGCTTCCATCACTTTACTGAAGAAAATATAACCTTTAGAATCCCCCTGTATTTACAATTCAAACTTTGTTAACCAGATCTTTGAGTAGTAAGATTTTGTTTATTATTTCTCATGGAGAAAAAAAAATAAAGTTTATAGGATATTAATATTATTATGTAAACATATTTGGATTTTTTTAATGCATTTCGAAAATGGCTGCTATAATCAGAAAACGTTGGAATATCCTGCAGTTGTTGAACAGTTGCTAATTTATCATAGAAAGCGCTCTCACCTATTTCCAGTAGCTTCTCTCAGTCTGAGCCAAGAAATTCACAAGAGCACAAAAGATAATGTAAGAATGGTTTGATGATTTTTATAAAACAGGCTTAGCTATTACCACACTTGCTGGAATCATTATTTTCTGATTTCTGAATCATGATTGTTTTTTAGAAAGATCAAACATTCCAACGTTTTTCCAGTACGTGTTAAATTATAGTTTCCTATCGATAATTGGACTTAGACACCTTCCTAATTTTTTTTTTAGATAAATGTACATATAAAAATTTAAATATATGCATTGCGTTTGTGTGAAAAATCTTCAACAGGTAATAAAACGCAAGTACTTCAGCCTTAAGTTGTATGAAGTGTTTTTTCTTTGTAAAATACTAAACCTAGGAAGCATTTCAGTGTATTTTTAGAAGGTCTTACAATAGTACGACAAATTTAAATTCCAAGTCTATTTTCCAAGAACAAAGTTGTGGAAAAAAGCTCGAAATTAATTTCTTCGCCACGAACAAAGCGCAACGCCATCACATATTGATAATTCGTCGCCACGAATAAAACTCAATGCAGTCACATACTGGTTTATGAAAAATCAGTTTCAATCTTATTGTTTTTGCCGATTCATGAAATTGGAAACTATTTTATAACAAAATATCTCTTGCTTAAATCTTTATTCATTGCTGGGGTACTCTTATTTTGCTCCATTTGATAGCTGAAAAACCTTTAGAAACACAAAATTACACAAATAAGCCAAGAGTCAAAACAAAAAGAAAACCAAAGAACTAAAAATTCAAACCTTATTTTTTTTAAAATGTAAAATGGATCTATGCAAATAACTGATCAATAGCATTAGAAATGTTTTGTCCTCAATTATATAAGTAGGTAATTAACAATTAAAAATAATGTGAAAAACAGATTTTGGAGACAAAACTGGAAAGTACCACATGATGATGATATAAAAGTGAACAAGGCCGTCGTCAGTTTGCACAAAACATAAAAAATCTATTTGAATGCTAGATTGCAAAATATACAAACATGGTTGGTCAAAATCTTGCATGTTGCAATACTCAAATAGGGTTTGTCAAAACCCTGCACATTGAAATAACCAAACACGGTTCGTCAAATTCTTGCACGTTGCAATACCCAAACATGGTTGGCATATCCTTACACATGGCAATACCCAAACACGGTTGGCATATCCTTGCATGTTGCAATACTCAAATAGGGTTTGTCAAAACCCTGCACATTGAAATAACCAAACACGGTTCGTCAAATTCTTGCACGTTGCAATACCCAAACATGGTTGGTATATCCTTACATATGGCAATACCCAAACACGGTTGGCATATCCTTGCATGCTGCAATACTCAAATAGGGTTTGTCAAACCCTGCACATTGAAATAACCAAACACGGTTCGTCAAATTCTTGCACGTTGCAATACCCAAACATGGTTGGCGTATTCTTACACATGGCAATACTCAAATAGGGTTTGTCAAAACCCTGCACATTGAAATAACCAAACACGGTTCGTCAAATTCTTGCACGTTGCAATACCCAAACATGGTTGGCATATCCTTACACATGGCAATACCCAAACACGGTTGGCATATCCTTACACGTTGAAATATCCAAACATAGTTGGTTAAAGCCTAGCATGTCGCAATACCCAAACATGGTTGGCATATCCTTACACATGGCAATACCCAAACATGGTTGGTCATATTCCCGCCTGTTGTAGTACTAAAGAACGGTCGGTCAAAGCCCAGTATGTTGTAATACCCAAACGCAGTGGATCAAAGCCTAGTACATTAGTTGCCGTTTTTGGTCTCCAATAAGCCTTGTCAGAAGAAGAATATTAACAGAGTAGATTATTTACTTATTTGTGGATAATAGATGTTGTAAATCCCATCATATCATTGTAATCATTACTAGCTCTTCCTATCTGGCAGACCACAGCAATACATACAACGTACACATCTTTCAGGTCTGTACTAAGTAATCTCAACAGAAATAAGTGTCTGTGGTAAGTAATTTCAACAACTTTAAGGGTTTGTAGCAAGTAATTAAACAGCTCCAAATGGTTATAATAACTTTACTTTACAAAGTTAAGTCTTTTGATGAACTTTAAAGGTAATTAAGATAAAATATTTTACAAAAAACTACTACTTCAAACACTAAATGTGTTAATTACGAGTTGGTATCTAATAGCACTGTATCTTGCACCTCGCAACACTGTACTTGGAACCCATAATTATATAGAACCTAGCAACATTGTACTTAACACCTAGTAACACTGGGTCAGGTACCTAGGCACGTTGTATCCAGTAGTAACGCTTCATGTATCTGGCACTTAGTAACATTATATTCTGGGTGGTGATGACTAGCTGCCTTCGCTCTAGTCTTACACTGCTAAATTAGGGACGGCTATCGCAGATAGTCCTCGTGTAGCTTTGCGCGAAACTCAAACCAAACAAACAATACAATTGCAGGTGATTGTAAATTAATATTGCCCGGTTACGTAATATGTCATAGTATTACTTAGCATTTTACTTCTCACGTATAAACAAACTTACAGGTCCTACAGTACTCGATACGTTGATAAAGTTGTTTAGTCATCCTATTTGTTTTGTGTTCATACAATATTTTCTTTATTCTGAATTCATACATAAAACTGAAATAGTGTAAACGTGGAGAATTCCTATATTTTAAAGTGAATAGATTTTGAGCTAATCTCAGCTAGGAGCTATTAAGTTATACTGATTAACGAAATGTAAAAAGCTTGAGCGTGGTCAATCTTCTTCTGAAATATCCTGTCGCCACGCCCAACTTTGCGCCACCTACTCTGACACTAACCTTAATTATAACTTTATCTACAAATCTAATTATTTGTGGAATGGCTCTACAGGTAAGACGTGACCGTCATGACTTAGTTGGTTTTTTATTAGTGTTTTATTTTTTTTATCTCTTCGTCAATTTTTTTATTATTATTTTGATTCAATTTAGAAGAACCAAATATTAATCTATTAAAAAATAGATATATATGTCATTTGCGCATGCCCAAGGTAGAAATTATTGTTCCTTATCACGTGTTTTATGTAATTATTTGCACAAAACAACAGTTTGTTTGTTTTGAATTTTGCGCAAAGCTACACGAGGACTATCTGCGCTAACCGTACCCTTACTTTAAGTCAGTGTAAGGACTAGAAGTACGTGGGG